CCAGCCTTGTTTTCTTGCTGGTGAGTTGTGATCCCTTGGAGGAGGAGAGGTGTTCTGGTTTTGGGTGTTTTCACCCTTTTTATGCTGGTTTCTTCCCATCTTTGTGGATTTATCCACCTTTCGTCTTCATAGTTGTTGACTTTCAGATTGGGTCTCTGAGTGGATGTCCAGTTTGTTGATAATGAAGTTATTTCTCTCTGTTTCCTAGTTTTCCTTCTAACAGTCTGGCCCCTCTGCTGTAGGGCTGCTGAGGTCCACTCCAGGCCCTGCTTGCCTGGGGATTGCCTGCAGCAGCTGCAGAACAGTAAGGGTTGCTGTCAGTTTCTTCTTCTGCTATCTTTGTCCCAGAAAGATACCTGCCAGACGTCAGTCTGAGTTCTCCTTTATGAGGTGACTCTTTAGATATATGGGGGTCAGGGAGCTGCTTGAGGAGACAGTCTGGCCTTTATAGGAGCTCAAGTGCTGAGCTGTGAGCTCCACTGTTCATTCAGAGCGGCTGGGCAGGTACGTTTAAGTCTGCTGCAGCAGAACTCACTAACGCCCTTTTTTTTTCCCCCAGGTGCTCTGTCTGCTGCAGCAGAACTCACTAACGCCCTTTTTTTCCCCCCCAGGTGCTCTGTCCCGGGGAGTTAGGGCTTTATTTATAAGTTTCTGTCATGCTGCTGCTTTTTTTCAGGGCTGCCCTGCACAGCAAGGAGGCAGCCTAGTCACAGTTTGCCTGCAGAAGCTTTGCTGAGCTGCTGTGGGCTCCACCCAGCTGCTGTGCGAACTTCCCTGCAGTCCCTCTGCACTTTTGCTGGGAGCTGCAATTCTGAGCTGCTCCTATTCAGCCATCTTGGATCCGTCTCCCCATAAACATAAATTTAACTCAAGAAATTCAGCAACATGATTAACATTTATTGTGAACCTACAATGTGACCCCAATATGCCAGACACTATGCTAAGTAGTGTGGAAAAAAAAGATGAGTAAGACCCAAATGGTATTTTCAAAGAGCTCAAAATTTAATAGCAAATAAAATTAAAAATTATACCCTTATTAAAATTTAAAAGATTCAAGGGAAGTACTAAGGAGTCAGTAACTAATTGGGAGATACTGACAGGGAAAACAGAAAGCTTTACCGAGCACGTGCTGACTGACCTGGATTTTGACCAGATAACCAGCGGGGAGAGGTGAACAGACAAATGAAACAGCAGGTGCCTACTGCCTAAAGTAATTTATAGATTCCATGCTATTCCCATCAAGATACCATTGACTTTCTTCACAAAATTAGAAAAAACTACTTTAAATTTCATATGGAACCAAAAAGAACCCATATAGCCAACACAATCCTAAGCAAAAACAACAAAAAGAACATAGACCAATGGAACAGAACAGAGTCCTCAGAAATAACAACACACATCTACAACCATCTGATATTCGATAAACCTGACAAAAACAAGCAATGGAGGAAGGATTCCCCAATTAATGGTGCTGGGAAAACGGGCTAGCCATATGCAGAAAATTGAAACTGGAACCCTACCTCATAACTTATACAAAAATTAACTCAAGATGGATTAAAGTCTTAAACATAACACCTAAAACCATAAAAACCCTAGAAGAAAACCTAGGCAATACTATTCAGGACATAGGCATAGGCAAAAACTTCACAACTAAAACACCAAAAGCAATGCAACAAAAGCCAAAATTGACAAATGGAATCTAAGTAAACTAAAGAGCTCTGCTCAGCAAAAGAAGCTATCATCAGAGTGAACAGGCAACCTACAGAATGGGAGAAAATTTTTCCTATCTATCCATCTGACAAAGGTCTAATATCCAGAATTTACAAAGAACCTAAACAAATTTACAAGAAAAAAAACAAACCACCCCATCAAAAAGTGGGCGAAGGATATGAAGAGACATTTATCAAAAGAAGACATTTATGCGGCCAACAAACATATTAAAAAAAAGCTCATTACTGGTAATTAGAGAAATGCAAATCAAAACTATAATGAGATACCATCTCACGCCAGTTATAATGGTGTTCATTAAAGTCAGGAAACAACAGGTGCTGGAGAGGATGTGGAGAAATAGGAATGCTTTTACACTATTGGTGGGAGTGTAAATTAGTTCAACCACTTTGGAAGACAGTGTGGTGACTCCTCAAGGACCTAGAAACAGAAATACCATTTGACCCAGCAATCCCATTACTAGGTATATACCCAAAGGATTATAATCATTCTATCATAAAGACATGCACACGCATGTTTACTGCAGCACTATTCACAATAGCAAAGACTTAAAACCAACCCAAATGCTCATCAAGAAAATGTGGCACATATACACCATAGAATGCTATGCAACCATAAAAAAGAATGAGTTCATGTCCTTTGCAGGAACATGGATAAAGCTGGAAACCATCATTCTCAGCAAACTAACACAAGAACAGAAAACCAAACACCACATGTTCTCACTCATAAGTGGGAGTTGAACAACGAGAACACATGGACACAGGGAGGGGAACATCACACAGCAGGGTCTGTTGGGGGGTGGGGGGCTGGGGTAGGGAGAGCATTAGGACAAATACCTAATGCCTGCGGGGCTTAAAACCTAGAAGATGGGTTGATGGGTGCAGCAAACCACCATGGCACATGTATACCTATGTAACAAACCTGCACATTCTGCACATGCATCCCAGAACTTAAAGTATATATATAAAAAAAAGAAACAGCATGTGCAAAGCCTATAATGATATGGAACAGTAGACTAATTTGGAAAATGATAGTCACCAGTACTATAGCATAAAACAATTATAATGGGAGATGAAGTTAGAGAGATAAATCTACCGTGTTAAATGGCTTGAACTTTATCCTATAGAGGACAGAGAGTTACGTTTTAAGCAAGGTCTTAAGCAATATCAGATTTTAGTTTTATAGGTGGACCACATAAAAAAGAATGAAATTGATTAGATTTAAGGACATGGGTATGAGAATGAAGAGGACAAATTCAGGAGACAAAGACAGACCTGAATCAAGTAACCTAGTGACCAGTTCTCACTGCATCAATGTGTATCATGAACTGTTTCTTCAACTAGACAAATGCTGATAATGTGTTTGGCTTCTATGAAATATTAAAACAACTCAATGATGATTCAAAGGCTATTGCACTGGAAAACTAAGAAAGGGAAAAGTATAACAGTTTTAGTGTTAGACTAATTGAATTTCAGATGCCACTCAGATATGCATGAGCTAGGATCAAGCACCTATTACATAATCCAAAAGTCAGGAGAGAAAGCAAATTAATGAATTATGTAGAAGTGATAAAGCCAAAGAAGTCTAAAAGACTGACTGGAGAAAGTATAAAGTAGGAGAGAAATGTAAACAATACTACATTTACAGGGTAGGAGGAGTGAGGAGTAGTAGTAGACTCACTTAACCAAAGTAGACTAAGTGAGAGTAATAAGAGAAGCTGAAAGGTCATAAGAAATGAGATGAAATAAATGGTATGTCCTGACGTCTGTTAGAATATGGCAGAGTAAAATCAGTACTTCCCCCTTCTCTTCAAAATCACCCGAAAGCAAAGAGCAGTAAAAAAAAAAAAAAAAACAGAAAACTCCAACCTTGATAAAACTATGAGACATCTATCACTCAAACTACAAACAGATTTAAAAACTTGCCAAAGTGCAGATCAAACAAGAATGTGGGAGGAAACAGCAGAGAGAACCACTTACTCAGGGAATACCAGCTCACAAAGAATCATCAGGCTCCACTGAAAGGCCAAAGCAGAAATCCTTTGTTTATAATTACACTTAAGTGAAGCACATAAACTGGTAGAAGGACATTCTCTGAACTAGATTTGGTTACAAGAAGCAGAGAAGTACAGATTAAGAAGATATCACATAAGACTGCCATATTCATAGAAGGAAGTCATGTTTGTGTGTGGTAGGGGTAAAAAGACACTGCACTATGAACAGACCTATTGCAGCTTATAGGCTGGGGAAATGTAGTAGTTAAAATAAGTCCCCCATACACATAACCTTGAGTCATGAGAAAAGTGCTAGTTATCCTTGGACAGAGCCCAAGGATCAGATTTGCATTAAAATACTCACTAAGCAGTTGGTACTAGCTAAAAATTGAAACCAAATATATATCCAACAATAAAAAAACAGATAAACTCTGATACCAGAATAAGAATAGAATAAACAACATGGCTCAAAGAAATGAACTACCATACATATATGTAACCACGTGGATAAAACTCAAAAACATATTGTTGAACAGAAAAAGCAAGATAAAGAATAACATACATAATGTGAGGTCATTTATATAACGTATAATAGGATTCAAAACAATTATATAATCATATGTAATAACAGCATTAAACATAGATGGGAATAATAAACACCAAAATCAGGGTAATCGTTATCTTTGGAGTTGGAAGCAGAGGAATGGCACCTGAGAGGGGTACTAGGGACTTTAAATGTACCTGCAACATATCATTTCTTTTCTAAAAATCTGACGCTACTAAAGCAAAACTGTTAGAATACGTATTCATTATATTATCCACTCCAAGTTATCCTGTATGCTTGCCTTTGGAACCAAGTCACCATATTGTGACGAAGTACAAACTAGGCCCACAGGGACAAAGTTTACAGTGCCTAGTCTATAACCAGCATCAACCACCAGAGACATCTTGAGTGAACAAGTCTTCAGAAGAATCTAGCCCCAGCTTTTTAATATTCCAGCTGAAGCCCCAGATATCATGGAGCAGAGACAAGCTGTCTCTGGCATCCAACTCCTTGGTTTGTTACGAGTATAAATAAATCATTATTTTATGATGCTAAATTTTGGGATAATTTGTCATAAAGCCCTAGTAAAGTGGAATACCCAAATATTAAACTGACTATGACTGAAAAGAAAATATATGCAGTACCTAGCGTGAGGTCTCAGCCTTGCTTGCTAAATTTACAAAACTGCTACAGCTGTAAACGTATCTCAGTTTAGTGGTATGTACAGTTTCTTACCTCCAAACTTCCAGAATGTGCTGCCCAATGTAAAGGGGTAAACTTATGGAGAACATCAACTTCATTAATGCTGGCTCCATGTTCCACTATTTCTGAAAGCTGCTTTATATCTCCAGCTCTTACTGCATCATGTATGCTGCCAAAATATACCTTCTTCCTGGAACCTATTGAAAAGTCAAACTACTTACAATGTACTATAAAACCGTGAAAGAAAAGAAAACTAAGATAATGGTCCAATAGAAAGCACAAAATCACTTTAGATTTTCAAATAATTTACTACAAAGATGTTTGTCATTAATATCTTAAACAGACTTCTTGTTCCAACACTGACATGTAAAAAGCAAGAAGGCTGATAATCTTATTCTATAGAGAAAAAGGAATTAACCAAAAATGAACAACTTTTCTTGGACCCATCAGAGAACTGGGGTCTCAAGGCAAACCGCCACCCCCAAATCTGGAGAGACAAATACAGAAAAATATAATCCTGGAGCAGAAGCACTGGAGCCAAAGAGTGGTAGAAGCACTTATATGGTAATTCTGATGACTTGCCAGAGGTTGAGTACATAGTAGCCAAAGAATGAGAAACTTCTAGGGCCCAGAGTCTTACTCAGGAAGCCACTACACTTTCAGAGATTTTTACCTTCAGAAACCTCACTAGGTTACCATTGTGAAACGTCAGGTACTCATGTCTTTGGCAGGGAGAAGGGGAAAGTACCTATTTTGAAATATGCACAACGTGTTCTCTATAACAAAGGCCTCCCTAGTAAAAAAGACTTCACCAGCGCCTCATCATACAGATGCAGATATATTTTATCAACATCTTTCTTATATTTCTAATTTATGTCTTACACTAAGAAAGGAATGGTAGGCCACAATTTTTAATTCATTTACTCTTAGTGCTTCATATTTTATAATTTAATTAATAAGCAATGTGAACCAGAGGCAATAAAGGCATCTAAGCATGAACAGACAGCTATTAGAGAAGGATGACTGAGTAAGCAGTTCAATTGCAGCATTCTCACAACAAAACAGGCATAATTCCTGACCTGAAGTTGTTTTGAAAACAGCTCACCAACACTCCTGGCAAATGATCTGTGCAAGCTTGTACTACTATTTATCTATGTACATGTTATCTCCACAATCAGAATGTTAATTTCTTGAGGGCAAAAATCATATTTTATACTGGAATTATATCTTACTCTTACTATATCTTTTTATATACTCTACTTATATCTTTGCTCCTACCAAAATGCTATAAATGTACTCAAAAAGCCTTTCTGAACATCTACTATGTACCAGGCACTATGATAACATGATAGAAAATGGACAGGGATTTAATACATTTTTTTCCACCAACACATTAAAATCTATTTGGATAATTACACAATGAAAATAAAAACCTGACAGCAATGTCCTCAGAGAGTACAGGTAAAATTAAGGAGAAACAAAACAAGTCATGGAGGAGGAGGAAACATTTGAGCAAGAACTTGAAGAAGAATTAAGATATATGGCAAATGGGAAAGAGAGCATACGTAAGGTGTGCACATGTACACATATACATACACACACACACACCCACACACATACCTTTAATAAATGTTCAATGAGGCAGGGCATGGTGGCTTACACCTGTAATCTCAGCATTTTGGGAGGCTGAGGCGGACAGATCATGAAGAGATCGAGACCATCCTGGTCAACATGGTGAAACCCCATCTCTACTAAAAATACAAAAATTAGCTGGACATGGTGGCACACACCTGCAGTCCCAGCTACTTGGGTGGTTGAGGCAGGAGAATCACTTGAACCCGGAGGAGGAGGCTGCAGTGAGCCAAGATCATGCCACTGCATTCCAGCCTGGCAACAGAGCAAGACTCCATCTCAAAATGAATGAATGAATGTTCAATGACGTTAATCCCTAGGCTGGACCTTCATTCTTCTTTACAATAGTACAGCTAGACCTACAAATAATGTTCTAACCACTCTACTTATTTTACACAGAGACACTCCTCTAATCCATCTTATACAAATTAACCTGATGACTTCATGCCCCTACGCCATAAAGCAGTGGTTGTCCACTGCTATTCTACAAAACAAAATCCAAACTCTCCGAATGACCTCTATGGCCTTCCACAATTTGGCTCCATCTGATTTTACGGCCTTTTTTCTCACCATACTCCACCCTGATTCATTCACTCATCCACCCACCCCTCTACTCAACATTAGTTTGGTGTCTACCATAAGGATAAAAAGATGAAGACACCCGGCCGGGCTCAGTGGCTCACGCCTATAATCCCAGCACTTTGGGAGGCCGAGGCAGGTGGATCACGAGGTCAAGAGATTGAGACCATCCTGGTCAACAAGGTGAAACCCCATCTCTACTAAAAATACAAAAATTAGCTGGGCATGGTGGCGCACGCCTGTAGTCCCAGCTACTCGGGAGGCAGAGGCAGGAGAATTGCTTGAACCCAGGAGGCGGAGGTTGCGGTGAGCCAAGATCGCGCCATTGTACTCCAGCCTGGGTAACAAGAGTGAAACTCCATCTCAAAAAAAAAAAAAAAAGATGAAGACACCCTCAAGGAACTCAGATTAGTAGAGAAGATACAAACACAAAATACAAAATAATGTGATAAAAGCAATGATGGAAATAATCATAGGAACTCCTGAAAACGCAGATGACTTCAATCTCAGCTAGGGCAAGAGGGAAGGGGAACTGAGAAGGATTCCCAGGGAAAGTAGTATCTAAGATAGAATCTTCAAGAATTAACATGAGTTTGCCAAGTAAAGTGGGAGCAGTGAAAGGCCTCCTAAACAGCATGAACAGTGGGATGTGGTCAAGAAACAGCATACACACACAAAGACAAAGACACACACACACACACACACACACAATCCTATTACTAAAGCATTAAGTGGGAACAGAGACTAGAACTAGGTAAGAGACAATGGTGGAACTTATTTCTAAAAACTTGGACTTGAGAAGGCAGTGGAGAATCACTTAGGAATTTTAAACAGAAGAATTATAATGATTGATATTTTTCAGGCTGAGTTTACAAGGCTAGATTCAGGGAAGAGAATTTATTGAATGCACAGCAAAAAAGGCAAGACTGGAGAGTAGGTGGATCATGTAAGAATACTATTTTACAATAGTCTAGACCAGAAAAAATGAGGCCCTGAACAGTGGGAACAGAAAAGGAGAGAGATTTAACAAATATTAATGAAATTCAAATGAACTAAACTGGAATAGATACAGCAGGTGAAATAAGGGAAAAGTAATGAGATAACTCCAAGGTGTCTGGCTTTGTCTTCTCAGTGCTGTGGTGCCATTAATTGAGACAGCAAACACTAAAGGACAGAGGATATATAGATAGAAAATTATATTTGGGACATGCTGTTCTTGAGGTACCCAAGGAAGATTTCCAGAAGGGTGACATATATTTAAGTCTGCAGCTCAGAGGAGAGATACAGAATTCAGGTCTCAGTGTTAGGTGTGTCTCTGCATTAGAATGCTTTTTCTGACACCCATACTCACCCTCCACTGGAACCAGTGGCACTCTGCCATCCTTTATAATTCTCATCTCAAGAGTCACTAGTTTATCAGCATTTCTCTTCCTCACCAGAAGTTAAAGAATGCACCTGTCTTCTTTACTGACAGTTCCTTAACACAGAGCACAAAGTAGGCACGCAGTAAATATTTACTGGATGGCTGAATGAGTAACATAGATTTGGGGGGCATGAGGAGTGAAGTCATAGTAAACGACAAGAAAAAGAGAACCAATGATGGCATCACCAAGGGAGAAAATCAGCATTTAAGAAGAGGGCAGAAGACAAGAAAACAGCAAAGGAAAGGGTTACTCAATGGAGTGAAAGAAAAAAACTAAGTAAGTCTAATTTGTCATCTCTACAGGGTCAAATGCTGCAAGGAAGTCAACGAAGAACTTAAAAGTGTCCATAAGAGTGAACAAGAGTTGATGTCAACCTGGGCAAGAAGACTCGGAGGAATGGTGCAGATGGAAAAAAAGGAAAGAAAGCTGAAAAGAGATAGAATGAGGGAGAGGTGAACAGCTTTGGTTCACCCTGAAAACAGATTAAAAAGGGAAAGGGGGAGTGACCACTAATAAAAGGAAATGCCAGAAAGGGCTAAGGTTGTTGCGGGCTGAAGTGAGAAAAGGAATCAGTGGCAGAGACGAGGGCAGTGAAACAGTCTGACTCACAGGGGTCTGCAGTCTCCCTAGAGGAAGTGGAGGGGCCTGAATTGGCCACCCCGGGCATGGTGCAACACCTCCGACTCTGGGGAGTTGTGTCCAGTCCCCTGCTGCTGCGGAGGCCTTCACTTGCTCTCACCCACGAGCCACGGCAGCGGCAGCGGCAGCGGCTCTCTTCGTTGTCGCTAGGACGGGGCTCACAGCCTTCTCTCGCTCTCTCCCAGGAGCTGCAGCGGAAACCTTCGTCTTCACCTTCTCTCTCCCAAAAGCCACCGAGGCGGCGGCTGGCGTCTTCACTGCCGCTCACACCGGAGGAGTCGCTGGCTATATAGCCGCAGTCTTCACTTACACCCTCCCAAGAACTACTAAGGCTGGGGCCGTCATCGACACTCCCTCCCTCCCAAGAGCCACTGAGGCGTCGACTGCGATCGTCACTAACTGTCTCCCCAGAGTCACTAGATCGCGGGTCCCGGCCGTCACTGACTCCCTCCCAAGTACCACTGAGGCGGAGGCCACGGTATTCTCTGGCTGTTGCCCTGGAGCCGCTAGTTTGGTGGCCTCCAACTTCACTAAAATTCACGTCGCTGCTGCAGAAGCTGCGGTCTACCTTAACCCTCTCCAAAGAGCTGCTGTGACTGTGGCCACTATCTCCCCTAACTCCCTCCCGAGAGACGCTGCGGCGGTGGCCGAGGTCTTCACAGACGCTTCTCAAGTCGCTGCGGGAGAAACCGGCGTCTCCACTTAGGCTTCCCGTAGCGACCCTGGAGCGGCGGTCGCCCTCTTCAGGTTTTCTCTCCCGATCGTCGCTAACTCTTTCCCTTGACTCGGTGCCGAAATGGCCTTGTCGGCTGCTTATCCTCCACACGGGGTGGCTAGTGCGACGGCCGCCGTCTTCGTCTGCTACTCCCCTCGAGTCGCTGTGGTGGCGGCCGCCTTGAGCTGGTACCTTCTCCGAATCGCTTTCCAGCCTCCCGACTCCAGCCACTTGGCTGGAGAAGCTGCAGGGTCGTCGCCTGGGAAACGAGTAAACTTCCGAAGTGCTGAGGTCATTTCCTGTTCCTCGCGTTACGTCACTTCCGGTTTCCTTTCCTCCAGATTTTTAACATCTTTTAGTCCCGACAAATGGGGTGCTGGTATGAACCGGTTTTTGGTGAAATTCGGCTCGGTCTCACCCGAGCCTATCTAGGTCCGTCTCTGGAGTGGCCTGTCATCGATCGCGCCCTCCATCGCTCAGCGACACAAGTGGAGGCCCCAGGACTGCAGTCTGCGTAGGTGACCTGTGTGGCGCGGGTCGGGCGGGGCCTTTTTGTCTTTTAGCAAACCTAGTATACTTTTTCAGTGGTGGTTGGAAGGAAATATGTTACCCTGTCATTTCGCAAGTATGGAAAAAGACCTAAAAGAGAATTTAGCAGCTGCAACCGCTGTTTTTATTGAGTACTAGCGCCAAACTTTAATAATCGCTTGTTAGGTGTTACCCATATTTTGAGACTCTATATATCGGTACTTTGTTAAGGCCAGGCAGCAGGTAAGTTGTAAAACCAATATAAAAACATAGGTCATTAGTCAAAAGACTGCGTTAGGTCTCCTGACTCCAAATCCGAGATTCCTTTCACTGTATCGTGTTTACTGCTCGAATATTTCTCTTCAACCCTGTTGCTTAACAACAGGAATGAATTCTTTCACTATTTATTGCAAACGTATGGGTCACGTTTTGTGCTAGCATCTGAAAATACAGAAATTAGTAAGAATTCTCTGCTCTCCAGGGGCATCACCAACTTGGATTCCTCTCTCAGCCCAGTTTTTCCACCCTATTGCCTTCTCCCTTCAGGAATAATGAACTGGTCCTGGAAACATACCATGCTTGATCATATCTCTCTGCCTTGTCATGTACTGTTCCTTTTACCAGGAAACTACGCTGCCTTTCCCCCAGTTTTGTTCTGTGAACTCGTTTGGGAAATTCTCATGATGCTACCTCTACTCTCTTGAGGTACAGTAAATTGTCTTTGACTTCCATCATCTTTTGTAATATTACTGATTTCTGTTTATTGAGCTCATGCGATCAGCCTGGCACTGTACCAAGTGCTCACACCAACATGAATGAGTTTGACTCAGTTCTTATTATAACGTGCCAGAATAAGTATTCCTCTTCCTCTTTACAGAGAGAGAAATAAGGAACAAAAAAGTTAATTGCTTTAGGATACACTGCTAGTAAGTAGTAAATACCTGACTTAAGATTCCAACCTAGGTTTTGGATTTTGCTGCAGGATTTCCTCCAAGTCTCTGAATTCCCACAACCTTTTATTAGATCACTTATCACATTTTATTATAATTATCTGTTTAACAATTTTTTTCTCACCCCTCAAGGACCCTGAGCTTCTGGAAGGTAAGGACTCTATCTTATCATCTTGACATTTCTGACATCTAAAATACTTCATTTAAGAGAAGGGCTTAGTAACTGTTGTGTGGGTGAGTGGGTGGGTTGATCAATTGATTGTCAGGCAGGTGAACAAATAGGCTGAAGATAGTTTTTCACTGTTGGAAGTGAATTTGGGATTAGTCATCCTAATCCCCTCACTTTAGAAATGGGGCAACTGGACCAGGCACGGTGGCCCATGCCTGTAATCCTAGCACTTTGGGAGGCCAAGGCAGGTGGATCACCTGAGGTCAGGAGTTCAAGACCAGCCTGGCCAACATGGTGAAACCCCGTCTCTACTAAAAATACAAAAATTAGCCAGGCATGGTAGCAGGAGCCTATAATCCCAGCTGCTCAAGAGGCTGAGGCAGGATAATTGCTTGAACCAGGGAGGCAAAAGTTGCACTCCAGTCTGGATGATAAGAGTGAAACTCTGGCCAGGCGTGGTGGCTCAGGCCTATAATCCAAACACTTTGGAGGCCAAGGCGGGCGAATCACCTGAGGTCGGGAGGTCAAGACCAGCCTGACCAACATGGTGAAACCCCGTCTTAAAAAAAAAAAAAACTAAAAAAAAAGTGAAACTCCATCTCGAGAAAACAAAACAAGAAATGGGGCAACTGAGGCCTTTTGTATACGAGGCATTTCTCGAGTTACTAATGTGGGACAGTTTCTCTGATAAATGATTTGCAAATACTATCCAACTTAATCTGTATTGTTGTTTTTATTTTTACAGATGAAGAAACAGCTCAGATTTGACCAAGATCACATAAGTAGGAGTTGAGGAATTGGAACCCCCTATGACTGACTCCAAATTAATATAATGTTTATAGCCACTTACATAATAATGGTAAAGGTTTTATTTTTTCACTATACAATATGTAGTAGATAAATTTACTGAGGAAATGAGACAACACATGACATATCTTAAAGGATACACACACGACAGGAAGGATTAGAAGAGGAAACAGAAACAGGTAGCAGAGAAGCAGAGATAGTACAATCTCCTAAAATAAAAATAGAAGGAATTAAAAATACAAGCAGAGGCCTAGCACAGTGGCTTATGCCTGTAATCCCAGCACTTTGGGAGGCTGAGGCAGATGAATCACTTGAGGTCAAGAGTTCGAGACCAGCCTCCCCAACAAGGTGAAACCCCATTTCTACTGAAAATACAAATATTACCCAGCTGTGGTGATGCGCATCTGTAATTCTGGTTACTGAGAGGCTGAGGCAGGAGACTCACTTGAACCCAAGAGACAGAGGTTGGCATTGAGCCAGGATTGTGTCATTGCACTCTAGCCTGGGTGACAGAGCAAGACTCCATCTTGAAAATAATAATAAGCAGAAGTTAATGAAATAGAAAATGAAATTGATAGTAATAAGCTGGTCTTTGAAAAGAACAATAAATAGACACTCAGAAAATCTGAGGAAGAAAAGGAAAGAAAATGGTATTGGAAACAAAGGAGGCCATGGAGGGAAGATGGCATGAGCCCTGGAGGTTGAGGCTGCATTGAGCCATGATCACACCACTGCACTCCAGTCAGTTCAACAGAGCTAGACACTGTCTCACAAGAGAAAAGAAAGAAAGGGCAAAGGAACGTTTTACAAATTAGAAGGTGACTTTGAAAATCAGAAGCAAATTATTTTGTGTAAAGTTTTACATGTTGAGTACCTCTTACCCAAAATGCATAGGACCAGAGTGTTTCACATTTTGGATTTTGAAGTATTTGCATATACATAATGAGATATCTTGGTTATGGAACCCCACATTAAACATGAAATTCATTTGTTTTATGTATACCTTATACACATAGCCTGAAGGTAATTTTATACAACATTTTAAATCTGGTACATGAAACAAAGTTTATGTTAAGTATTTATGTGTGGAATTTTCTACTTGTTGCATCATGGCAGTGCTCAAAAAGTTTCAGTCTTCGGTGCACTTAGGATTTTGGATTTTCAGATCAAGAATGTTCAACTTGGCTGGGCACCATGGCTCACACCTATAATCCCAACACTTTGGGAGGCCGAGGCGGGTGGAACACGAGATCAGGAGTTCAAGACCAGTCTGGCCAAAATGGTGAAACCCTGTCTCTACTAAAAAGACAAAAATTAGCCGGGCCTGGTGGCAGGCGCCTGTAATCCCAGCTACTCGGGAGGCTGAGGCAGGGAACTGCTTGAACCCAGGAAGCGGAGGTTGCAGTGAGCTGAGATTGCGCCACTGTACTCCAGCCTGGGTGACAGAGCGAAACTTTGTCTCAAAAAAAAAAAAAAAAAACCGGTACAGTGAGCCAAGGTTGTGCCATTGTACTCCAGCTTGAGCAACAAAAGTGAAACTCCATCTCAAAAAAGAATGTTCAACCTTTGGGAGGCCAAGGTGGGTGGATCACTTGAGGTCAGGAGTTCGAGACAGCCTGGCCAACATGATGAAAACCCATCTCTACTAAAAATACAAAATTTAACCAGGTGTGGTGGTACACGCCTGTAATCCCAGCTACTTGGGAGACTGAGGAAGGAGAATCACTTGAACCCAGGAGGTGGAAGTTGCAGTGAGCCAAGAAAAAAGAAAATTGGGGCCGGGCGCGGTGGCTCACGCCTGTAATCCCAGCACTTTGGGAGGCCGAGGCGGGTGGATCACAAGGTCAAGAGATCGAGACCATCCTGGTCAACATGGTGAAATCCCATCTCTACTAAAAACACAAAAAAATTAGCTGGGCGTGGCGGCGCGTGCCTGTAATCCCAGGTACTCAGGAGGCTAAGGCAGAAGAATTGCCTGAACCCAGGAGGCGGAGGTTGCGGTGAGCCGAGATCGCACCATTGCACTCCAGCCTGGGTAACAAGAGCAAAACTCCGTCTCAAAAAAAAGAAAAAGAAAATTCACTTGGGTAATTTTTTCAGCAAATACAAATTTTAAAAAATTGGCTCAAGAGTCAAAAAACTAATAAACTGGTAATTATAAAAGAATGTCCTAAAGTAGTCTAATCCCCAATAAATGTCACCAGGAACAAAGCATAGAGAAGGATGGAGTACTTCCCAATTATAAAGCTAGTATAATCCTAACAGCTCTAACCATGTCAAAATTTTAAATTCACATTGCCTGTGAACTAACTGGTTGTTAGATCTTCAAAATAACTTGCTTTGATGCATGTAATATGATGGTCGCCATAAAACTTTGTAATTGTAAATAATTAGAAATTTTAATATCAGTAAAAGAACAACTAGATTATGCTGCATTCCTCATACAAAATACTATGCAGTGGTAGAAATGCAGATCTACATGCATTAATCTACACGGAAAAAGTTGTAAGATACAGGCAGTGAAAAATGGTGCAAAACAATACATATGTGATTTCATTTTTAAACTATTTTTCTAATTCTATACTGAATTGTTACCTCAGTCATTTTATAGAGCAAGAAAGAGGGTGTAAAAGTAGACTGTATTTTGTACTTGTATTACTGGATTTTTAAAATGTTAATCCTAAGTAAAAATATAGAAGTACAGAAAAACATGTACCATTACATAAAGCAAAAGGAGATAGTGCTAAAGTGTGTGTGGGCTGGGTGCAGTGACTCACACCTGTAATCCCAGCACTTTGGGAGGTTGAAGTGGGTAGACTGCTTGAGCCTAGGAGTTTGTGACCAGCCTGGCCAATATGGTAAAACCCTGCCTCTACTAAAAATACAAAAATTATCCAGGCATGGTGGCTCGTGCCTGTAATCCCAGCTACACAGGAGGCTGAGGCAAGAGAATCACTTGAATGTAGGATCGGAGGTTGCAGTGAGCCAAGACTGCACCATTGCCCTCCAGCCTGGGCAACACAGCAAGACTCTGCCTCAAAAAGAGTAAAAGTGAGTGTGGTTCTGAAGAGATTAAGAAGCTAAGAAACGCACACTGGTTTTAACAAGGAGACATTGATAATACTGAGAGTAATTTTAATAGAAAAAGGTAAGATACAAAATCAAGACTGCACAGGATTTCAAGGTAAGTGCCTGACTATGGAAGAAGTTTCTTAAGTGAAACAAGGTTCGGAATACATCCTGGTGTGGTCATCTCAGTATTCCCAGGGATTGGGACCTTTTTTGAGTGGGAAGCTATGATTTTGGTTAGTAAATATGACCAGTCCTCCACCTCTACCTCAGTTTTGCCGAGGTGGGATGATAAAGCAGGTTATCATAAATCAACATTTTATGTCTTGTTTCAGAGAAGGGAACAGGGCCAAACCCAGGCCAAAAAAAAATGAAGTGGGTATTGGTGACAATCTCTACTCCATTCTGCCATTTTCTCTTACTTTCTAGTCATTCTTGTTCTCCCTTTATGCCCACTCCCAAATCCTCACTGGGGTACTCCATGGGTACCTTTTTGACTCTTATTTAGCTTACCCTTCCACACGTGCTCAACACAATGCCCATTATCTCTGAGAACTGACCCCATTTAGGATTAGAAAGAAACTCCCCGGTTCTACAAGAGATCAGATCTTTCTTGATAATAGTCTTTAGTTTCCATTTCTACCTCCAGTCAGCTACATTTTTCCACTTGCAGCATGGTTAGATGCCTCCTTAGATTTTCCTGAATATTTTGTATAAACCTCCGTTAGGGTACTTACTAGGTACTAAGTTGTAAGGTTAGTCATAAAAAAAAAAAATAACAATTCTCTATATTACGTTAAGCTGTTAATATGAGAATGTTTTAATTTTTATACATATAATTCCTTATTTTTCTTCCCAAAGCTTTTTATTTTTAGCTGAATTGCAATGAGATTGCTTTCTATTTTCGAAAACATCAAAGTTGGAAGTTTTCAGTGGGAAAATTACACTAAAACCAGGAGGATATCAATTTAGCAAAATCTCTAGATTTGAGGAAACATGCTATTTTATTTGTTCTCTCAAACTTCAACTTAGAAGACTGTGTTCATCATCTCCGAGGCTTCCTTTAGCTTTCCTTATTTTATTTGTTCTCTCAAACTTCACCTTAGAAGACAGTGTTCATCATCTCCGAGGCTTCCTTTAGCTTTCCTTATTTTATTTGTTCTCTCAAACTTCACCTTAGAAGACAGTGTTCATCATCTCTGAGGCTTCCTTTAGCTTTCCTTATTTTATTTGTTCTCTCAAACTTCAACTTAGAAGACACTGTTCATCATCTCCGAGGCTTCCTTTAGCTTTCCTTACTGCACTTCACAGTGTTAGATTATTACTTATAGCTAACAGTGCTATGTATTTTGACTCTTTTTCTATCTTTGGGGATGCTGTTGATCTGATGTAGATTTCTGAATTTACCAGATCTGGCTATTTATTAGAAACAACTGTGGAGCTTATTGAATACTAGTAGTGCCCCTGAATGAGAATAAATGAGACTTCCCAGAAATTAGGAATCTCTTAATATTCACTAATTCTAAGCCAGGGGTAGTGATGTGCGCCCGTAATCTAGTTACCTGGGAAGCTGAGGTGGGAGACTGGCTTGATCCCAGGAGTGAGGCTAACTTAGGTAACAGGGTAAGGCCCCATCTCTAAATTTAGAATTAAAATGTTTTAAATTCTTATAATTTTAATGCACAGCCAAATATGGGGCAGATCTAAATCACTGCCCTCCCTCTGGCCACCTACCTCAAAGAATTGAACTCAATCCCATCTGTAAATACTAGTGGCCATCTTGGAGAACACTGGCCCACTTCCATTCCAAAGCTAATCCATCTGTGTGTTTTTGTTTTTTACAAACAGTGTCCTGCTAGTTTTTCATATATTTGGTAGAGATGGAGTTTCGCCATGTTGCCCAGGCTGTTCTCGAATTCCTAGGTTCAAGCAGTCTTAATCTTCCCAAAGTGCTGGAATTACAGGCATGAGCCGCTGCTCAGCCCCTCCTGTGCTATTGTTGATGCTATCTCCTTACAACCTTAAGACATAGACCAATCATTTCCACTGAGCTCCTTTGACATACTAATCTCTCTCCTATTTGTCTAACTACAATTTAATCTCTGAAGTTAAACTTCATTTAAAAACCAGCTTTTAATATTTTGTTACCGCTCATCCACACTACCCATTGTACCAGGTGTTGGCACCCATACTCAGCTGTTCTTAGGTCAAGAGTATTTTTCAATCTTAGATGTTTTCTTGACTTTTACTGGCTACCTTTTCCCTTGAAATTTTTTTTCCCCACACATGCCTGTAATCCCAGCACTCTGGGAGGCCAAGGCGGGCAGATCACTTACAGGTCAGGAGTTCGAGACCAGACTGGCCAACATGGGGAAACCTGTCTCTACTCAAAACGTAAAAGCCAGGCGTGATGGCAAGCGCCTGCAATCCCAGCTACTCAGGAGGCTGAGACAGGAGAATCACTTGAACCTGGGAGGTGGAGGTTGCAGTGAGCCAAGATGGTGCCACTGCAGTGATGCAATCTGAGCACTGTCCAACCTAAGCAACAGAGCAAGACTATCTCAAAAAAAAATTTTGCCCATTGCTGGTTTTCTATTTATTTCTGACCTTGCTACCCACCAGTCTTTGTTCCCCCATCCTTGACCCACTTCTCTGTGTGGATACCGTTGATACATTTGTAGGTTTGAATGTCACCTTCCTTTTAGAATGTTCCATACCTTTAAGCATGTGATAAAAGCTATGGGTGGTCTCCCCAGAAAAATATACAACAGGCAGTTTTGCCTGCGTTTTTGGATTCACAGACCTCAGTTCTTCTATGGCAGGGTTCATATACATAAGTTCAGCTGTCACGTGTTTACAACTCAACTCTGATGGCTACCAGTTTTCTTACTGGACCTCTCTGAATTGAACAATCTCTAGAACCATTCACTTGATTCTTTTTTTTTTCACTTGATTCTTAAAAAAAAAAAAAAACCACACAAATGCAGATGTCACCTTTGTTTAAAATTTCTAGAGGCTGCTCTGGTCACCGGTTTAATAAATTCCTTAGCATGACCAAGAAGGCTCTTTACTTAAAAATAAAGGCCAGGCATATGGCTCATGCCTGTAATCCCAGCACTTTGGGAGGCCAAGACAGCAAGATCACTTGAGCCCGGGAATTTGAAACCAGCCTGGGCTAGACAGACTCTCTAATTAAAAAAAAAAAAAAAAATTTAAATATTCATCATGGCCAGGCGCGGTGGCTCACGCCTGTAATCCCAGCACTTTGGGAGGCTGAGGTGGGCGGATCACCTAAGGTCAGGAGTTCGAGACCAGCCTGACCAATATGGTGAAACCGCATCTTTAAAATAAATAAATTAAATAAAGTCCAAACTTCACCACTACCCAATATATCCATGTAACAAAACTGCATTTGTAGCCTCAAATCTGTAAAAATAAAATAATCTCTTAAAAAACAAAAAGATTCATCATCATCTATTCAAAACCACTGAGTTTTAACCTTAAGTAGTCAATTTTTGAAAGTCTTTACATTTGCTGTTCATTTTCCAAAGATACCCTTCCCATCAGTATGGACTCTACACCTGGTTATCCTCCAAGACTCAAATATTATCACCTCTGTAGTATCATCCTTAATCCACCTTCTGGTAGTTTGGTGTGCTTATTTCTATCTTAAAATTAATTTAGGGGTATCTTTTTAAAATTGCAGAAATTGGAATTAGATGAAACAAAGCCATGTTCAAATTCTTAAATTTTAAAGTGAGTGGCTTAATTGCTTCTGTAAACTGGGAACACCATCTACCATGTAGTTATTAGATGTGAATACCAGAGAAAATACATGTAGAAAGTGCTAGTGCCTGCCAAATAATATGTGCTCAATGAAACTCACTGTTTTTTTATGTGCTTATCTAATAAAAGGCAGAAAAGACTAACCTTTCTCAGTGCCTGGCTTGTAGCAAGTGCTGTTCATGTTTTAAAAAACAAAGACAACAAGAAAGTCACATTCTAAACCTTTTCAAGAAATAAAGAAATACAAACAAAGTTTATTCATCATTCTATTTATTACATGTATGAATATTAACATCTCATGGTCTCCATCTAAGTCCAAACCAACAAAAGAAAAAAGTTAACCATATCTCAAGCGAACATTCTTACAGATTCCTCTGTAACTTAAAATAGAAATATGTTCATCTGCATTAAATCATTTGACAATTTGAAAGTCTTTAAAAAAAATCACCTTTAGTACTTAAATATATTTGTTAATTGTTTGATGTAATCAGTGTCCAAGTTCAAGAATAAAAGTCGCTTCATTAGATATTTTCAAAAGTGTACATCTGGATGGTTCTCTATAGCTGAAATTGTGTGTGTGTGTATGTGTTTGTGTATGCATATATATATATATTATATATGTGCAAATATGTCCTATTTTGTCTTTAAAATTTTTTCAAAATCTGGCTTTTCTATTTGAGAAAAGCCCTGCGGTGCTCTCACAACCCCCCCCTTTTGAAGGATGAAACTTCAAACTTTGCTTCTTTAATCAATGGGAGGCTACTAGAAAAAAAATCTTATGCTGAGGTTGCTGTTCAATTCTATTTTTACCCAATAAAAAGTACAGAAACTTTATTTGATGGTGTGCATAAATATTACACTCCATGAATAGCAAAAATATTTTTTATTTATAATTTACAGTTGCACAGTGAAAATCGTACATTTTTACACATACAATTTCATTTTGTTAAATTTGCACACATCTACAGAACTTTCACACAACAAGCACCTGAAACTCTGCAGGCAGTAGGAAATGCAAATACTAAAATGTATTTATTAACCAAATGATAGCTGAAGGCCCTGCCTCAGCTAGACAATTTATATAGATAGGTCTATATATACATAAAAAAATTCTTCACCTTCTAGATCCAACAGCAGCTTTTTTAAAAAAGAAAAAGATACCTTTCTCATTTTATTTAAACTGACTCAACTGTGTCATTTTCTGTTTTAATTTCAGAGGGTGTTGCTATGCTTTCCTCTGTACAAGCTGGTGGTGTATCAATTCGTTCTTCCTTAACTTTGGGACTTTCACAGGGTTCCTGCAATTCGTTTTTGACAATGTTCAACATAATATTCAAGGGGTTTTCAACTGGTGTCTTGCTGGGTGATGGTGTACAATCAAATGAAGATGTCTACAAAATGAGAGGCCCTATGAGTACTGATGAAAGTTCAAAATTCTTACATTAAATGACATTTAGTTTTTTAAGACCCTTGTATGGACAAGGGAACACACATACAACAAATGCAACTGAAATACCTGCCTCCCAACAAAATGTGCCATAAAGGCAACAAAAATAAAATATATATTGCACATTCAATATGTACTTAGCAGTGAGCTAAGCAGTAACGGCTAAGTTGTAAGACATTATACGGCTAAAAAAAGTTGATTAGATATGCTTCTACATTTTAATTTCTACATAGATGTTATACATATATTCTGGAACTTGTTACTACCCTAATTTCAAATATTCTGAGGATTTTTTAAATCCCATAAACCATCATCCTAAACACTAGTCTTCT